TATTTCTATCGCAAAAAATAATTTTACAAAAGAAAGAGGGATGTATGAACATGTATGGACATCATATTTCATATTATATGATTATACATGGATAATTATATATATTTATACATATTTATACATATTCATGCATGAAGAATTTTTTTACTAAGTGGGTGTAATGTGACATAAATTTTACAGTGCATGTATAATAAATAATAATACTATGGTATCCAGGATTAAGTTTACCCCAATCTGTTATTACTTATCCATTTTAAGGCAATGGATGTATGGAAAGCTATACATACAGTTATCCGTATATTTATAATAAATTTATATGCATATGCATCTATAGATATATAGTAATTAACAATATTGCCACACATTCGTTACCCCAATAAAAAAAAGCATTAATTTATCACTCACCAATCCGATGCGCAACAGCGGAGTTATATCAGCAACGTCGCTACGATGATTCTACAACAAAAAGAATATAAAGTCCAAATTAAAACAGAGTAAAAAATCAACCAATATTTCAAAAAATATTTACTAAATATAATGCAAAGTTTTTTTGAAAATAAAATCACATAATATTCAAAATATATAATTTTTATAAGCATCGAATTTTTTAATTCACCGTTCACTTATATTTATAAAAATAATTATACATTTTCTTAAAAATACATATTTATAAAATTTGAAAATAATTTTAAAATAATCCTTTTATTCTAATTATTATTTTTAAATCATTCAAATGAAACTACTCAAGAATAAATTTAACGGAAGAAAGATACTGATGTTACATAAGTAAAAAAAAAAAAATAATATTTACCGCAAGGTTGCTCCGCCGGTGCCTGATGCCTCTCCCAGACCTCCTCCTCCTCTCAGAACAGGGTTGACATCCTATCGCACAGGACACTCGCGTAAAACACTCGCGAATAATGGACTATAATCGCGCGCGGACTATAATTTGAGTCCGATTACTTGAACGGCACTCCCGAACAAACGCGCGACGCGACGAACCGGCTGCGGTTCGTTCATTTTCAAATAAATCGGCGACGAGAGTACGTTAGCTTTCCCTTTGAATTTTTACACGAAGAGAACGATTTTCTTCAATATCTAAAAATTTATCTAGATATATCATTCAGATTCGAAAGTTTTTAGATTTGAGAAAAACCATTCTTTTCGTATAAATATCCTCTGGGTACTGAGCCCTCCCACCATGTCAATGTGTACCCGTGAGAGGGAAGATAATCTGAAAAATGTAATATATAGCTATTATCTATATTACTATGCAATTACTATGCAATCGGTTAACTTTTAGAAACGAATATCAAACACACGTCTACAATTTTTGTTATCATTGTAAAATAAATTCAAAGCAGATAAAAGAGTTGAATCATTTATTTATAGATGATATCTGTAAAATGTGATTAGAGTCAATGAAATGGGTTAGAGATTAATAAAAAAAAAGAAATATTTCTTTTGTATTATCGATAAATAGTTTCAAAGTTACATTTAATTTTAAACGGATCATATAACAAAAAGTGCACAAAAACAAAAAATTAATTAAATTATTACACTATATTAATCGTAAAAATAAGAATTGTGTTATTTGCATGAGAGTATTAATGTTGCTTTTTATGACTCATGTGATACCGATCGTACAAACAAGTAACCGTGTCGCGCGCCGCTTTTCTTCACATTTCTTTTTGAAATATATATAATAATAATCGCAAAAAATGCTAGATATAATACGAAATATATTATATGAATATTCACATACTATGATTACACATAGTATAATTAATTATTCATTAAGTACAACGTATTATATTTGGCATTTTTCGCGATGAGATTTCAAAAAGTAAAAAAGAGTCGCACGCGACATGATACGACCTACTTCTACGAATCTCGGTAAGAAAATAACTGCGTGGAAAATAACTACGAGTAAACGTAAACATGACGCGTCGCTCCGTGCCACCCCGTGCCATCCCCACCCCAAGGTCGCGCCAACCGTTGAAATATTAACGCGTTATTACGAAGTAAAATAATATATTCTTAACTTTTCAATGTTCTCCGATTAATGAATCAATTTCTTATATGTATCTAGTCTTAGCGGCGTGAATCGTTTAAGGTGATAATATAATTATATTGTGATGACACCGAGGAATATATTTAACATTCATTTTATAATTTTAGGTATTTCATATTAATATTACAATGTGCTGACAAAAGACAAGAAATAAAAAAAAGGTTTTTAGCATGATTTTTCTTACATAAATGCTCACGTAAAGTACTTTTGACATCTCAGCATCTACATCTCAATTTATATTGCTCTCTTTTGTGATTTACAATTAAATAAAGATTAATAATATGTCATATATGCTTTAAATAAAGATAAATACAAAATTTATTTAAAATTATGAAACAATTTTGACTAAATAGAATAATAGCATGCATCTAACAATAAGAATCTCATTTTTATTGTTAGTTACCGCGAACGCACGAAATTTTAAAATATTCATGAGCTGCGTATGTGAGTAATGAATATAAGAAATAAAGGAAAAAAGTGCAATACAACCTATAATCCTTTTTAATCCTTAATACTCCTTAGTTTTAGGTAACCTTATGTATGTTCGCGTTCGTAGATATCTAATTGCTATTAATTAATGCGACACGCGGAGCGACTCGAAAACACATACGTCTCTCTCCGAGATCGCCGAGCGAATGCCAAAGTGATGACGTAGTCAATCACCGCGCCGCACGGTAAGCTCCCCCTTCCTATTCGCCGCGTGACGCGTTACCTCTCCCCTCACTGTTCGCGCGTTCGCCGGGCGAATACCCTACTATTGAGCATGAAAAATATTCACGGTTTATTTTTTCAAATTCATATTTTACATGATTTTGACAAACGGATACCGTCGTACATTTCGCATTTTGCTTTGTGGCATCTCTGGCATAATCCTATATTATCTGCATGGTTCTTTTAAACGTAATTAGTAATTATTCGCATGGGGTATTTTTGATATTCCAACATTATGTCTCAATTTTCATTGTTCTTTTTAATAATTCATTCTTAAATAAAGGTTGATAAACTATTCTATATACACACATTCTTTATATATAAAGATACATGCGTATTTTCTTAATAGCGTGAAACAATTTGTGCTAAATACAGGTTTGGTTAAAAGTACTAAATATCTTGTTAATCGTTATTTAATTATTCATTTAATAAATTAATTTAACTACTTTTACTGCAAATTATTCTGTGTTTCAGAAATTCTTTAAACGTACGTATAATAAAATATAAAATAGGTATATATATATATA